GTCCCAGGGCTCCCTAAGCCTCCTAGGCCTCGGCAGGGAATTTTCTTCCCTGTGGATTTGTCCGGCCACTCTTTGAAGCCCTGGGAAACATTTTGCACCCGAGCTGTGCCACGGCGAGGAGACTCCCACATCCTGGCGCCCACCTCCCTCGGCTCATTCAGGAGCTGCCGCTTGCTACTTTCCTTTGGCACCTCCTGACTCAGAGGAGAAACAAGTATGGGAGAAAAAAATGACACCGGACCCCTTCCAGCCCGAAAGGACCTCTGAGCAGTCATTCATCACCGGAGCCAGCCTTTGCTTTTACAAACCCAAAGGGCAGCCCTCCCAGAGCATCACCCAGCGCGGGAGAAGCAGAGACCCGCTGCTGGCCACAAGTCCCCCGCTGCATCTTTCCCCATGACCAGCTCCCACAACCTCCTCCATGACACCATCTGATCTGTCCCAGGGTCCCCAGGGACCCCCGCAGGCAGCAGGTGCCAGGGACGGGCAGAGCGGTGGCAGAGCTCAGCTCGAGCGCACTAACCTCTCCTAACAGGCAATCAAATCCCCACCCTGGCAGGAGTCCCTGCATAGTAATTGCACTGTGTTATCCAGCCATCTGTTCCCGCAGCCAGGAAAAGAGCAGTCCCTTTGGTCTCCTTTATTAACAGGTTTCCCTCTAAATGCAAACAAACCCTCCCGTCTCGGCGTCGCGCTCCCGATCTGCTTTGAGGCACCCGGGAGGGAAGCAAGAGCTTGCAGGCATTTTAGTAAATCAAGAGCAGCGAATGCAAAGGTGGTGATCTAACGCTGCCTGTGGCCAGGCAGGAGAGCCAGGGGCGGGAGAGGAGAGGCCTCTGCAAAGCCGAAACCACAGATCAGATGGTTTCTGATCCTCCTGCTTACATTAAAGCATCTCACTATTGCCCTGTGAGGGAAGGAGGAAGCTGAACTGGCTGCAGGGGAGATTTGCCCACACCCCCGGCTGTGCCTGACCCACCTTGGGGTGCACTTCCCCCTCTCCTTTCCCTATTTACCCGCCATCTCCCCGGGCAGAGGATGCTCTGTGTAAAGCAGAGAGCCCAGCGTGGGCTGCTTCACCGCAGTGAGGTTTGACACCCCTACCAGGGCTGACCCTGCCCGTAAGCAGTGCCTGGTGCACTGGAGGGGCTCTGCACAGCCACACGCCCTGGGATGACGGATCTGCCCCAGTGAAGCTGAATGGGAGCTGGCTCTGCCAGCCAGCGAGGAACTCGCTACACCTGCTGAGCAAAGCATGAAGCCTCCAAAAGGGGATCAGCCACACAAAGCCTGCCGTGAACCGCCAGCCCCAGTAAACTGAGGCTGAGCAGCAGTGACGGGAGGACACCAGCATCTTTGCGGGGTACCTCCAGCCCCTCCAATTTTGCTCCTTTCCCAGAGCTGGGAAGGCAGCCAGCTTTGGCAAGGCAGAGGCTGCACCCAACTGCCTTCCTGTTGTTGTTTCCGCTACTTCTCCTTCTCCTAAATATCACCAAAATGCCCGCGATTGTCCCCAGGCGCGGCCATGCCTGCTGTGGGGGTAACCAGCCCTACCCAAAGGCAAGCTGCTGCTGCCATCTCCCGGCTCCCGCTGCCCGAAGCCCTCCTGGGGTGAGATGGGGCTCAGAGGTGGCAGGTTGGATGGCCCCCACCCGAAAGCACCAGCCCTTAAACAGAGCCAGGAAGGGAAAACAATTTTCCCAGGAATGAGGAACACAGGGCTGCCAGCCTGCACCCTGCTCCTGCGGTCATCCCAGCTCAAGTCCCCCTGGGACACTGAGGTTGATCAGGATGAAAGACTCGAGCCGTAACGTTCACCATTTGCTTTTCTCCTTGTTCTATCCTCTCCTGCACTTTATCATGTTGCCCCAGCAGCACTGGATTGGCAGGTGGGATCAAGTGACCTGACATCTGGCCATCTGGAATATCTTTATTTATTACTCTTAATACACATCTCCTCTGTATCTTGACATCTGGGCTCCAGCGCAGAGCTGGGGCAGCTCTGTGCACATAAATGATGCTGCGATGGAAGATGTCAGATGCTTAAAGACCATCAAGACAAAAGTCTGCTCAGTAAACAGGATGAAACCCGAGAGCTCTGAGCAGGGCAGGGTTTTCACCTCCTCCAGAGCTGGTCACAGCAGCGTGGCTACTCACCTCCATGGGAGGTAAAAACCAAAGGCTGCCGGCACCGAAGCTGGCGCCGTGACTCAGCAAGGCGGCCACGCTGCCGCAGTGTTGTCCACAGATCCACCGAGTCTGCCGACTTCTAATTCCTGCATAAAGCAGTTAAGTCTATGGTCACTCAGCTTAAATTCAGTACACAAGAGTCCACACAGAAGACAGGGGATGAAGGTTGTGTGTCTCAGAGAGAGCGCACCAGGAGACAACGTCCAGGGTAAAGCTTCAGCTTATCTAGGTACAGCTAATTCCTACTTCTCCCAAGGAGGGGTACACCCTAGTTCCTTTCCTCCTCTGGGGAATCTGTTCAGAGAGAAGAGAAGGGGTGGGATGTTCCACACTTACCTCTGCAAACCATCTTCAGTCTTCATAGCGATTAAGTTATCCACCACAGCAGTGTTTGGCCAGGGGGACAGCACTTTTGACCAAGCGGAGAACACCTACACAAGTTCATTTCTCACCTTCATCCAATATCCTCCTGGTCTCTGCCTTCACTGCAGAAAACCACAAGAAGGGTGTCTCATTTCCCTTCCCAAAAGGAGAGCAGATTTCCAGGCACAGGGAACGGCTGCAACTCCAAGCATGAGGCATGGGATTGGATGGGAGGGGAAAACAAACCCAAAAACCAAACAGTGCAGAAAGAGAACGGACAGTGTTACCATTAAGGGGATTTGAAGGAGACCCTGAAGAATCTACGAGTCAGCAGGTGCTGGGAAATAATCCTCTTCCACCTCAGCTCCACTTACCCATCCTGTCCCCGAGTCCCTGCTGGTATAAGCGAAGCTTTCTGCTTGTCCATGCAATTCCCCCAGACTTCGCTGGGTTTGGACTGCTGACACAAGAAAAAGAATAACTTAAGCCACACTATAAACCTCAAGTTCTAAAAATCTCCAACCCTCAGAAATCTGCTCTATCTGCTGTATTTAAAACAGCAGGACTAGAACAAGTGTATGTTATTTCCCTCCCGGTTGCAAGGCAAGGCTTTCCCTGCAGCCGTTAGCTCGGTGGCTTCGTGTCGCAGTTCCCCTGGACCAGCTGGGCACGCATGCCGGGGGTGCAGACCACTCGCTCTGGCAGATGGAAATACACCCCGTTTGCAAATAACCTGTGCTGCCTATTGCTGGATACAAAACTGCTGACAGGCCTGCAAGACCCCTACATCCAGCAACCTGCTTCATCGCAGAGTCTGCCACGCGCTTTCCATTTTTTGTTTTGAACACAACATCCAAGCTGCGTTTACTAGACCTGGCCAGTCACTCCTCTCAGTGTCCTCCAGTTCCGACATCCTCCCCTGCCCCGCTCCAACATGATCTTTAATTCTTTAATCTTTAATTCTATTAATACCACCTAATAATTACTTTGTTCTAAGCCTGCTGAGTAATGACTGCCGACGCTTCATTACTATTTCTGTAAAGAAAGCAAGCTTTAATACATTGAATTTCTGCAGAGAGGAGTGACAAGAACTGTACTTGCTGTCCTCTCTCTGCCTACATGTTCCACAGGGCAGGGAAAGAACCAAGCACTTTATTCTCAAGGCATCTTCAGTGTCACAACTGTGTGATCCAGTTCAGAATGAACTAGATTAAAATAAATAAAAATAGCTCAGAAGAGAGTTAGAATACAAGCAGTGGAGGAAAACAGCCAGTGACCAAACAGCATCTACTGCCTTTAGGTGTCTTCCTTAAGAGAAGCTTCTACACCAGGTTCTCTCTCAAACCAACACTCAATTCCTCCAGAGGTGCTGGGCTTTGGCGTTTCCTTCATCTAATCAAAATAAAGTCTGTTCAACTTAGACTTCGACCTACGTGGATTAAAGCAATTCAAAGCAATAGGGAAAGCAGCCCACAGAGCATGAAGGAAGAGCGAATTAATAGCTTCCTTCATTAAAGCTTACCTTCAAAGAAGTCAGCAACAGAACTCGTCATCACCATTTTCTTGCAGACATTTATTTTTATATTCACAAGAGGATGAATGTAAAAGGAATTTATGTAGATGCCAAATCAAAGCTTTTTGTTCCTAACTAGAAAGGAGTCGCTCTCAGCATTTTAATTACTTTCTTAGAGCAGGACTGACGTTTCAATCCCTGTGCTCTTTTACTAACTCTTTTAAAATCAAATTTAAGAGATTAAGGCAAAACAAGGTAACAAACAGAGGTAACACCACCTCCTGAAAACACACGTCTCGGATCACTGCACTTGGTTATCCCTTTCGCAAGCCTCTTCACCCCATCTTGATCTTATCTGATCACACCTGCTTTCCCAGCTGCTGCGCCGAACAAGCAGCCCACACCAAAACCCAAGCGGCAGCAGAGTTGAGAGTGATCAGTTCACCCACTTTAAGAGGCAATTTCATCACTACAGAAACTGACAACTTTTCAGAAACCTACAGCTTCTACCTTCAAAAGACAAGCACATCAGGACAATTCCAGATGGTACACTGAAAAAATGAGGCCGTTTTATTGATGATTAGACTCCGCATTGGCAACAATCATTAAGCTAATACAGACAGACTTCAATCAAAGCATGAGCTTTGAACCAGAAGTCATAAAGTGACATGATGCCTTAATAAATTAAGGAAGTTGTTAATTTCTCTCCGTCATCAACTCTTCACTTGAAGTTCTTCGCAAACTCCTCTCCTTTCTTAATAGAAGCCTTCAGCTCAGACATGGCCTCAGCAACCATCTTCTCTTCAAAGGGGGTGATCTTGCCAATACCTAGGTTCTTCTCAATTTGGGAAAGAGGATTTAAGGATTAACCATTCATCGAATGACCTAGAGAGCAACTTAACAGCTCTGATTACGTATTATCCAGCTGAGATGGAGACCCAGCCTGGGACCTCTGCCATCTCTAGTCTGCCAACCCTGTGCTTCCTGGCAAGGCCCGGAAGCCTCTTCTTATCTGTAGCAACTTCTACAGCCTTCACAAACTTCTCATTCACTGTTCACAAGTGTCAAACTTGAAGCTAGCCCATCAGCTCCTTCAAGAGAATGATACCAACTGCTCCTTCATGCCTCTTCCTATCTTCAAACCCACCGTTCGGCAAGAGAATTTCTCTCCTCTGGCATATACCCTTTGCTTCCACCGGCTTGCAATCTGAAACTGCTTCAGAGTTGCACTCCTAGGTTTTTGAGATCTCATGCCTACATCCAAACCCTTCCCCCTCAATACCCCTCTGCTTCCATTCCCTCACCAGCTGGCACCTAAGACAGCAGACACCATCCTTTGCATCCCAGCAGCCACGACAGGGCTGCAGCATCCTTGTTTTTCACTCCACCCACAGGGTAAGGGTGACAAAAGGAACACTTCTTTCAGAGTTCAGTAGAGGTCCTGAAAGCAATCTATTAATCCTAATCCATGCTGTAGCTCGCCATGTGCCTCAATTTCTGAGGGATTTGCTTGTAGCAGATCAAGCTGAGGAGACAGGATTGCTGACTCTGGTTAATCATATGAAAGCCCTTCATAAACAGGCCCTGACATGAGGCAAGTGTGACCTCTTAAGACAAGTCTGAATCTCTGGTTACTCTGCAGTCTAAGAGCGGATAAAAGCAGCAGCATCCCTGTCAAGCACGAGGTATATGCCTAAGTACAATACCCAAATATTCAAGAACTCTTAAGATATGCTCAGCTCTTAACTTCAGTGATACCTAGCACTAGACTAAATTGAAATCACCAAGTAAAAACCACAAGACTAAATCAGTAGCTGCTGTTTATAAGCCTCATCATTTAAAGTACATACTCCCAGCAGCAGAGGTCGATCGAACAAAGGCACATTCAATAACCCCTTCCTTTCCATTCATTGCATCCACCAGAGAGAACACAAATCGAGCACCAGCATAGGCCATAGACAAGGTGGCAGAACCTGTAAAAGTTAATCACTTTTAGAACAGATCACGTTGAAATTTCCTATTTTCCTTAGCATCAAAGGCTTCCATACTGATATGTTTACAGAGCTGCAGCGAACAAAGGCACATTCAATAACCCCTTCCTTTCCATTCATTGCATCCACCAGAGAGAACACAAATCGAGCACCAGCATAGGCCATAGACAAGGTGGCAGAACCTGTAAAAGTTAATCACTTTTAGAACAGATCACGTTGAAATTTCCTATTTTCCTTAGCATCAAAGGCTTCCATACTGATATGTTTACAGAGCTGCAGCGTCATTGACTTCAAGCTCACAGCCAGTTGGATAAAGCAGCAGCTTTTGGCCAGCCACATGCTATTTAGTTGACCAGATTTGTAGGAAGAAACAGCTTGATTTGACAGAGAAGATTCTTTTTAAAGCCATACATGGAGTGGGATCAATTAATGTTTAGTCTTACCTACATACTGAGCTGCTTCTAGTACCACAGTTCAGGCAGTCACTGACATGGCAGAGCAGCTAGATTCGTAATCAGCAGTTCATAATTCTGCACCGCAGTTGTAAGTAAGATTAAACTGAAGAGGATTGCATCCATTCAACTGGCCAACAAGAATTACTTGGAGGGTGTAGTCAAGAACCAACCTGCTCCTGCTTTAGCCTTGACAACTTCAGTACCAGCTTCTTGAATTCTCCCTGTAAGCTTTTCGAGTTGATCCTGAGGAAAGTCCACTTTTGGTGTGCACTAGATTGGAAAAAAGAAGTTACTATCAAATACCAGATTCAGCATAAGGCCACCCACATGATGCTTTTGTACCACTACAGTTGTTACCAACAGTTCTCAATGGGGAAAATCAGTTATCCCAGCTCACAGATTGCATGACAAACTGACCAGCTGCAAGCATTCACCAAGGCTGCTGGCTATTGCATGGACCATAACAGGAACCTAGACACACCCAGCTTGCTCAAGGGCAAACCACAGCTTGACAGCAAAACCAGGGCTTGCCATGATTACTTGCTACTGGGTAGTCTTTGCACCCTCCAAGCATGTAACAGGCCTTAGGAATTTCAAAAAGCCACCTTGTAAGTATTTGGGTCACTGTGGCATTATGGAAGTCAAGAGCCTTATGAAGGATCCAGTCTGCCAGCAGTATTTAGGAAGTTACTGAACCTTCAGATACAGCTACACAAGTATGTTAAGCGCAGCTGCCGCTATCCCAATTGACTGAAAGCACCCTCTCAGCATTCAGCTGCTCCAAAGCCCTTGCTCTTATTCCCTAAGAACATCCTTCTGTGAAGGATACTTTACTCCCCACTTAGAGCAAAGCTTTTTCTCCCTTTCTTGCAGATTGATCCTTGGCCATATCCTAGCCACCTCCTCATGAAGCTGCAGCCTGCTTTAGAACTGCATTTCATTCTGGCTTAGATGCACGAAGGGAGCCTCTCTCTGACTACCGGTCATTACAGAAGCCGGCCTCCCCACACACCTTGAGCTATGCCTCCTCATTTCAATGCTGCATGTTGAAGTGGTGCTTCTAGTCCACCACAGCAAAATCAATTTCATTTTTTCATATAATGAAATAACTGTCACAAAAAATAAAAACCAAAACAAACAGTGCCAAGACATCTGAACACCCACACTACACCTCAGTTCTTATCCCAAACTCCTTTAGAGGAGAAAGGCTGGAACTATTTAAACTATTTAAACGCAGAGGAGTTTAGATTTAGCTCACTGCCTTCCAGTATCCTGCACCTCATCTCAGAATGAAAGCAGCCACAAGAGCAGGGAAGACTCTCTCTGCTGTATCTCAGCACATTACACGCCACCACAAAGGCACTTTACATCAACTCTAACGTATTGATGAGTGTGATGCCACACACTGCAGTAACTCTGACTTACCTGCGAGATCAGAGGGATGATAGTCTTCCCGGCATGGCCACCAATAACCGGAACACTTACTCGAGCTGGATCTAAGCCCTAAGAGAAACATGAAACTTTCCAGCTTCTGAAGCATACGGACAAGAAAAACATTTTAAAACACCATGCTTCATTTTCTGCCCAGGGTTTTTGGACACTTTCATAACTCAGTTCTACACAGGGCAGAAGTCTCAGAGGCAGCTATACTCCAGGGACAAAGCCAGATCTACACAGTTGAACTCCAGGTTACTCTGATAACTCTAGACAGTTACAGGATATTATTAATGCAAATTCAGATAAATAGCAGCACAAACTCCACCAGGGCTATTAAGAGCAATAACCTGTTACAGTTCCTCATACTTTGCAGAATATCCTGTAACACGCAGCACAGGCAGTTTGACTTGCAAATACATACTACAACTCAACCCTTTCCTCCGGTTGCACCAGCAGGGTTGAAAATGCCAACAGAATTAAGGTGAACATGTAGCTCGCCCACACGGGACAGCTGTGAAAAGAAAGGTCAAAGTCTCTTGAACCCCATTTTGCAAGAAACCCTATCCCCAGGCTCCTCTAGAGAATGGAAACAGGGAATCATTGCCTTCGCCTCTAGCTCCACAGAAATCTGAGCTCTTTTGGCTCTGTGCAGTGATTTTAAAAGCATTTTTGATAGATCTAATGACCAAAGCACACTATATCCCTCCTGCAGCATCTGTTACTATGACCTACCTTTAGTTCAGCCACAAAAGCATTTGCTCTGACAATGTCCAGCGTTGTAACGCCAAAGATTCTGTTGGGATTATACACACCATGCTTCTTGAAGACTTCTGAAGTTATTGGGATGGTTGAATTTACCTATAAGCGAGAATAGGCAAGCATTTATTAAAACCAGTATAATAATGAAGCCTATGCATGAACTGAACAGGCTAGTAAACAACTCGAAGTATACTTCCAACTTGAAGTCGACTGCAGCCAATTATTTTAATTCCTAAATTGAAGAGCAATTCAATTATTTTGAATAATTGAATAAAAATCTCCCATTTTAAATAATTTGTTCATTCACATTACAAAGGCTCCTCCCTTAGTGAGCTAAGACTTCTATTCCAGCTAATACACCAGCATGTATTATAACCATAGTCATACAGATGTTGAGATATTAAGCACTTTTATATCCAAGTTTCCTCTAGCTTCCATATAGCCCAAGAAAAACGGGGTAGTAGAACCACGGTTTTACTTCTTTTCTGCAAATAGCCTGCGGACCTTAAAGATACTGGTCAAAACTAATAGGAACTCAATGAGAACCTACTATTCTCATTCTGGATTTTTTTCTCTACATTTTCAAGGTCTCTAGAAAATGCTTACCGGGTTAGAAATAACACAGATCATGGCTTCTGGACAGTGCTTTGCACAGGCTGATGTCAAAGTAGCAACAATGCTAGCATTGGTGTTAAACAGGTCATCACGGGTCATACCTAAAACATATCCAGTACAATATTTTAAGTGATCCATAGTCTACTCATTAATAGGCAAGCAAAAAACAATACTCTGCTCTGGATAGAGATATGTCAGCTTCTGGTTTCATATATCAAGATAAAACTCTCTAGCTGCAGTAATGAATTGGCTCTAAGGGTAACTCCTCTCGCTAACACAAGACTACTGCCCTTTCAGATAGATCAGCCCTTTTCAGGAGCGACCAGCCCAGCTGTAAATTGTCTGAATGTATTTCACCTAGGCAGCCTGAAGTACGGTATGACCATACTGACCCACACCAGTACACCAGTGGTGCTCAGAGCAGCGAAACTGCTCCTAAGATGAATTCTCCTCCCCCTCTGCAGTCACCTCCACAGCTACAGTTTTAATGCCAACTACTCTGTGCAAAATACTGCTAGTTGCATGTCACCTCTCATTTCTGTTGCAGCAACTACTTTAACCACAAAAAATGAAGAATTAGGAAGAGCTAGGCATTAAAGTCTAGAGTTTTGTTACATTCCCAACAGGATACTGAAAAACAGAGTAGAAATGGAGCAGTTCAGAAACATTCTAGGAAGGCTTAACAGCATTCATTCAGAGATCCTCTGAGAAGTTATCATACAATTAATGCAAAACAAACAGATTATTTCTATTCTGCTGAGAAATGAAACAAAGAACCAGGTTTTTTTACTAGAGCATTGCTCTGGGCAAGAAACACTTAAGGGAGATTCAGGACCACTTGCATGAAAAGTCTTTGCACTTTACCTCTACACAGGAACTCCAGAAATCAACTCTGCCCATTTTACAAGGGACAATCTAAGACAGAAGCTAAGCAAGGTGCCTGGTACCACAACAAGCTCTAGGTCAGTGTCATTAACAGACCACTTACATCCCAAGCCAACACTACCCTAAAGCACCAGACACAGCTCTATTTGAATAACAGTACTGCAGAGATACACTTCAATGAAGCCCCGGGGCTTTTTAACAAAGAGAACATACCTGGTTTTCTAGGGACTCCCGCAGGAATAACTACAACATCACAGCCCTTCAGACATTCTGGCAACTGCTCAGGTCCCAGGAAGCCTGGAATGGAAGACATTCAGGCATTATGTTTTTGCCAGTTATTAAGTATTTGACACTTTGAAGTACAAAATTATGCCCAGAGGCACCCAATTCCTTTTTTAATTTAGCCCTCAGCTCAGACTTACGCTGAAAAGCAAAGAAATACAATTATGGATGGATCCTATTTGATGTTTTATCCTTGTTTCAAAACTTACAGAACAAAGGTGGTGGGAATCTCACATTTCAAAAACCCTCAGTTCCTCCGGCTATGCGTATTTACTCTCCAGAAACGCTAGCTAGTCAGTGCCCCCAAAGAACTGCAGACAGACACATTCAAGTAAAATGTAACCTCTTGGTGATCTTCAGATAAAATGAAGATCAGCAGATTAAGTTTTGATTTCATCAGAAGTTGACAGCTGTCCCTTCAGAAAAGAAACACACAGAATTCATGTAGACACCCAGGGAGCGTTAAGTCTATTTGTAGTCACTTCTAAATTCAATGCTTAGGCTTTTTTCCAAGGCGATTCTACTGAATGTTTCCTACCAGTTATTACAAATTCCCCTTCAACGGTGCAACCACAGACCATTCTCATCTCCATACATACCAATCTAATCAGCTAAACCTTAATTAGTCATGCACTGCTTGAGAAAAAGCTACTTAAATTGATATTAGGCTTCAGGATCATGTGAAGATTCCCCTTCACAAGCACAGCAACGGGCATCTCCACGTGTCAGAGACACTGGAGAGGACCCTTTCAGAACACAGATCGTTTCCAGTGGCTCGCAGTACCTTTAACATTTGCTCTTGTCTCGATGTGGCTGAGGTCAGCTGCAACGCCTGGAGTGTGAGCGATATCATACAGGCTGAGCCTGCTCACCAGCGGGCTGTTCTTCAGGAGAAGGGAGAGAGGCTGGCCAATGCCTCCCGAGGCCCCCAGCACTGCTACCTTGGCATTGTTCTGAGGAAAAAAGATGACAAACACATTGTAGAGCTGTTCTGGTAGTTACTGCAGCAGTGACCTTGGGATTTCACCACACTTTCTTTACTTTTAGTTCTATTTCTCAATTTTTTTATCAAGCACTATGCAAACTTCGTTGCCTAAGCCCACAGAAAGTGATCATCACTACAGCCTCCCAAAGATCCTTGAGGTTTATCAGTAGGACAAGTTAGAAGAAAATGTTCTTTTGCAATCTAAGCTCAAAAGAAGCTCAATCCCTCGAAAGGGATTACTGTTAAACCCCCAACCGCCAGCTTTAATTCTTAATACATTTTGAAAGCAGGGCCATATTTCGGTAGAGGAAGAAAGCAAGAAGCAAAATTGCTTATCACCCATCACATACTACCAGAAAGAAATGTTCCCCTGGAGCTAATAGATTGGCCCAGCCAGTATACACCTGCCCAGAGAAAGGCATGAGCTCCTCGGCTAAGAGCCGCCGAGCGATGCCCAACAGCACGGATGTTTTACCGGGCACAGACACAGCCCGGCACCCCAGGACCGA